ACACACACACACACACACACACACACACACACCACACACTCACACACTCCGTGTCCGCTGCAATTCTCCATGGGAGAGTTCTGTCATGCTCTGTAGATTGGGTGTCCCAGGGTGATTAACTATTGATATGGAGCTCAGGTAACACACCTGATATCTGGGGGTTGGGACAGGGAGAAAGGAAGGGAGGGGGGAGGGAGGAGGAGAACAGTAATGGAAGAGCCAGGTGGTGGGTGGGGGCATGGAACAGAGAGAAATAGAGGACCGGGGGCAAATTAGGAAAGAGACACATGATGAGCGAGAGTGAAGGCAGGAGCCAAAATGGCTGCATCTACACTTCTTGGATTGGAAGGCTCAGTGGAGGCTGAGGCCCAGTGGCCAGTAGCCATGTTGCGTCAAACTGTTAATGTGATGACTCAGAGCATAGCTGAGGGAAGTGGGATGGTGAGGGCAGTGAATGTATTGAAAGAGATGTGCAGTGTGTGTGTGTGTGTGTGTGTGTGTGTGTGCGTGTGTGTGTGGTGGGGGGGTGGGGTGCAGATGCATAAACAAATGAATCGCTGTTAGAGAAGAAGCTTCCGTTTGTCTTAAGCCACACACAGTATGGCTCAGCTCTCCAGCCCCCAGCTACCCCCAAATTGGTGTGCATTCCCTTTAGTTTAACTCTGTGTGTGTTTGTGTGTGTGTGTGTGTGTGTGTGTGTGTGTGTGTGTGCATGTCTGTGTTTACCTTGTAAACACACCCACCTCATGTTTGACAGTCAAATTCTAGTATCAGCACAACCACAATGATACTTTTTTCTTTCTTCCTCTCCATCACTGGGGGCGCTTTGATGCCTGATAAGCATCAGTGCTCTCTCAACTTTTTCGTCAGTTGGGAGTTGGCCCATCCCCCATCCCCCATCCCCAGCCTTCCCCCGAAGGTGATTTCAAATTAATAACACAACAGCTTTCTTTGCCTCACTGTGTGTGTGTGTGTGTGAAAGAGAGTGTGTGTTAATGGAATTGTGATGAATTTCTGTTAATAAATGAGTTGTTGGATGAATAAAGACTAAACTATCAATTAAACCATCTTCACATTCATTATCTGATATTGAAAACAGGCATTTCTGTTGATCTGGAAAATACAGTACATACACACCTGCACACACACACACACAAGGCCTGTAGCACAGATGGTGGAACAATGTGGCTCAGCAAAACACTTTGCTGAGGATAGCTAATTATCTCGCTGATTATTAAGATATATTACAAAGCAGTTTTTGCCAAAACAGTTTATGAGGTGGATTCCAGAAGGAACTTTTTCCCAACATTATAGAAATTAAACAGAGAAACAGACAGATAGATAGAAAGATGGACAGGAAGGTAGGTGGGTAGTAGATAGGTAAGTAGGTGGGTGGATAGATAAATGTTGGCCTCCTTCATCAGTCAAAAGACAGACACACAGACAGAGAGACAAATAGACAGACAGAGAGACAGATGAACATTTATGACTGCCTTAAAATGAAATACAGAGGGATTAAAGCATCAGTAAATGCCAATAATACACAATCAATCAACACGAGACATCACCTTTGGATATGGGAAACAGGCAGTTTGGACATGAGATCTTTTAAGAACTACGGGTTTTGAGAATTTGAATGATGAATCAATTTAAATGGATCAATTGAACGCCTGAGAACATGATGTTTGATCCAGGAGGTGAATGTCCTCCCTCCTCCTCCCTGCTGCTGAGTGTCAACATGGATGAAGAACACAGGTGTAGCAGAGGTGAAGTGAGGGCCCGTATGAACCGATACTCCTGCTCCCGTATTGTGGTTTTCCTCCTCTCTCTCTCTCCTCTCTCTCTCTCTCTCTCTCTCTCTGCCTCTCCTTTTCTTTCCATGTCGTAACTGCAGCATGCCCCGCCTCCTCCCAGACAAACACACACGCACACACTCACACACACACACTCTTTCCTGTCTTCCACACCCGGCCCGGGGGGAACTTCTTTCTTTTCCCCTGCACGGCCCTCACCACTTCACCTGGAAGAAAGGAGCAGGACTACTTCACTTCACCTCCATCTTCAACTTCTCTGCTAAGGTAAGAAGACGAACCTGCACCTCCACGTCTCCTCCAGAGCCGGGGAGCCAGGTGTGACAACAGGTGCTGCAAGAACACAGCCGGAGGTTTCCCTCGGGTCACACGCAACGTTTTGCAGGTTTTTTTCCAGCAGGTGTAGTTTCAGTCGAACGCTGAAGTTGACGAAAGAAGTGTTGAGTTAAGTCTTTAGCTTTGAACACCTCCAGAGACAAGTGGGAGCTAAGGTGGCTAATGTTGCCTTCACGTCCCCGAAATTCACACGATTGATTCTGTCATTAAGACTTCAATGTATTTTTATTACTCCCCAAAGTGCAGCTTCTAACGCCTCAATAGCAATATCCTAAAAGTTTTTATTTGAATGCCTATTTTTTTTATTTACTCGAGATACTCATATAGCGACCTTAGAACTCTTTTGCACTATAAACACTGTTGTGAAAACCACCTCTTCTGAGTTATGCTGGTATGGAATTTTATGATTCTAATTATCAGATTAACTTGAGATATGAACGTTAAAAACACACTTTATGGTTCTTTACAACCCTGAAGCCTGTTTGAACTGAATGCAGTAGTAGTGCTCATGCAAAACAATCACCTGATGTTAAAAATGTTTGTATCTGCAGGTGACAGGTGACGCGGGATTTTACCAAATATGCCAGCGTCACTCTGTCTTGCATTTGAAAGAGGACATTCATTCATTCCCCCAGAAATTCTTTGTGGTATCGCTCATCCACTCCAAAAGTTTGTTATTTGTCATGAGGTGTGCCTTTGCCCAACCTAATGATAAGGGATAGAATGAGAAAGCCACCTCCACTGAGGAGATCTGCCATACTTGAAAGAAACATGTACTCAGGTATTACAGTTGTTTGCTAATGTTAATATCAATGTCATCCTAAGATTTATTTTCATCAGTTGAATATATTGTGTAAGGATATTTTACCGAGTACATCTACTGGCCACCACATCCCTGTTTCTGTGCATTTATCTTGGCTTTTTTAGATTTGCATCCCATTGTGTTCATGAGAACCGTTGAGTTGCTACAGTTGCAGATGTTTTTTTCATTTCTATCACTTTAATATCTCATTTTTGAACAATGTCTTTATTTTTTTCATTGTACAGAAGACACAGTATAGACACATATACTTAGTTATATAGTTGCCACAAACTTTTCTCCAGTTTAAAGTTGTAATTTGTTTTTACTTCAGTATACATTAAGTGTAGCAATACCCTTTATTGTGGATAAAGCAAGAACATTTCTTGATTCTCATTACATTTGAAACTTCAGGTATATTACTGTTATATTTATTCAATTTCACGGGGGTTACGCAATGCTTCATTAACACCAATATTGAAGTGTCTTTACATTAGTGCTGACTTATTGTTTCTGAGGTTCCTCACAGGGCTTTCTTCAGTTATTTGAAATATCTTATTTTAAATCTGCTAGAATGTTCCTAATATCAATACTGAAACCGTGATACAAGGTCTCCAATCCCATATGACCCCTGGTCTACAGTGTCCAATGCCACTGCTCCAGGTGCAGCCTGCTGAGCTCTCAATAGTAAGGGACACTTGTTTATTTTGTAAATAGCCCACCTATTTGTTGTTTTCCAACTGCTTTTGTGAAGTGACTGTTTTGGTCCAATCAGGATTTAGTAATCACCTCTAGGGGAAAAGTTAACTAACCTTGATTAGCCCTAGATGGGTAATAACACCTACAGACCCACGAACCCCATTCAAATCAGCAGTGTGGGGACATTTTGTTCATTGAGGAAACACAAAAAAAGAAGTATGCCTCATAATCAAACAGTTGCTCAAATGTCAAAGACTGTGGAACCGAACCACAGTTACACACCTGCTGCACTTAAAGCATAAAACTTGGACACTGAGAATTCATAAGAATCACAATCAGACCAACTGTACATGAATGACATCAAACCATTAATACTGAAATTCTTAGAGTTGGAGTCTTTCAGTGATGAAAGTGCATGAAGTACCAATGACTGGTTTTGCATAGAAGAAATTAAACATTTCCACTGTAGATATTTAGATTAATGTTAATTTGGATGTTTCATATTAAAGAGATGTTAACTGAGGTATAGTTGTGTCTAACTTTAGTAATAAAAATGACATCATCTACAAAGAGAGGTGCTGTGTTATCTCTATTGTCATTTATAACTTCCTGAACTTGTCTGTTAGCTCATAATGATGATATTGCTAATGGTTCTATGGCTAGAATAAAGGGATGACATTTATATCAGCTGTTTACTCTTGGAGAGACAAAACCTGTCCGACCTGTTCCTTGGGGTTAATGGTTGTGGCACGGAGGAGGTAGTATGTGAGGAAGTACTATCAGAGGCAAGAGGAGTCCATAAAGGTGTAATGAATGGAGTTGAATTGCACATGGAATTTAGTTTTGTCTATACACGGCCATGGTGAGTTAATGTTGGTGGACGTTGTCCTTCATGCTGAATACCTATAAAGTGATGTCCAGTCCCATGTAACCCAGTATGTCTTGGTTGCATGGGATAATAACAGTCCTGGGTAGAAAATATTGATTTTATAAGAAAACACATTTGAACAGAGACATGTGAGTGGATGAGTGAGTAGTGTTTTCTCACCATGTTATATGGAGATAAAAGACTTAAGCTAAAGCCAGTGTATACACCTTTGTGTCAAATGCTGACAAAGCTTTGAGAGATAAGGGCATGTCAAAGAGACCATGTTGCTATTATAAACAGCTCCTCATGTGCCATGGCATAAAGAGGCCAAGTGCTTTTTCCACTTTAATTTTGTTTTCACCAAAAATGAAGATCTAAAGACTCTTAAACTTAGCTTTACCTTTCTATAAAGTACACAGAAGGGTTAGGGTTAACCTCTGTAGAATAATTGTACCTTTTCACACTGAGATATGTTATTGGAAGAAATCTATCTAATCAGTTTGACTTATGATGAAAGTTCCTTACTACAGTTAATGATTTAATTTAACCTTACAGGTATTGGTAGTGTATCTGTCTCTGAGCTGTGCCGTATGATCTCAAAGGCCTTTTGGTTTTAGTTTTTCTTAGTTTTTTTTTATCAAAGACTGGCTAAGCTTGTTTAGCTAGTTCTACCCTGTGGAATCCTTTGCAACAAATAACAAAGATGAATCCATCTCACTGCATATGCAACATAGGAGGCAAAAATAAACAGGGCTTGGACTATCTTGTGTTTGACCTCATATCGGCTTCTTGGAAGCCACATCTCCCCTCTCAACAGGGTGCACTGAGCTAATGAACCCCTACTGTGGAAGCAGCACGACTGCTCCTCCCGCTGTGCTGAATCAAGAGAATGTTGGTCTAGATTATGGTATTAAAGAGCGATAATCACTGTATCATTACTGTCTTGTGTTTCTAAATGGACTCAAATTTCTTTCTGTGGAAACAATAATTGGTTTGATCTTCAATAGTACACAATACAAAGCTGCAACAAAAGCCAATAAACTTGATATGATATGATATGATCAGAGTTTATAATTATATATTTTTTGTAGTAGGTGGTAGGTGGTTCATTCGATCTAGATTTTCTTTGATTGACAACAGACCTACATGTTTTTATCTTATCCATAAGTTCACACAGTCATCTCACTTAAAGGTCCAGTTTGTAAGATTTAGGTGAAAAGGAACTATTATAGAGGATAGAATAATCCTCATGATGCTTTCATTAGTTCGTTTCATCTAAATTGTTTGAATTGTAGTTTTCTTTAGCCCAGAAAAGGCCCTTTATATTTAAATACTTTATATTTTCAACGAGGGGGTCCTGTCTACGGAGGTCGCCATGTTTTTTTCATTAGTCCAGACTGGACAAACTAAACCCCTTTTGAGTTTTCATGACAACTCAAACTACCACAGGTTATTTTTCATGTTTGGAAGGAGAGGGTGAGGTGAGGAGTGATCAGCTGCAACATGCAATTTCAATACTAGATATCACAACATTCTTCACACTGTACCTTTAATTGTAATAAGGATAGTAGAACGTTTCATATCATAAAACCTTATTAACTTTTTTATATGTATAAGCTGCTAACCCTAACCCTTGTTGAACGTTAGATGTTACACATTGATATTATTTTCCTTAAAATGTCTCTAAAACAGTTTCTTCAGTTTTCTTCTGTTTTAAACATTTGAGTGATTTTATTTGTCATCCCCCCTTGTCTTCACTCATTGTTTCGTGTCCTTTAATTCTCTTAATTCAGATAATTTCCCCAGCCCTCCCTGTGTGCACGGTAACCAGACTCCATTGTTAGTAACTTAAGTCATGACACATCACAGTCCTCAGTAGACAGTGGTTGGTTTCTATAGTTACCGTCAACAGTCTGGGCTGAGAAGTGTTTGTAACGATATCCTCAGGACAATGCAAAACTAAATGGTGGCCACATTGAGTCCTCTTCCTATCAGGCCACAGCTGTTTGCAAAGAGAAACTCCATATTGTGGACAAACAGGTGGTTGATACACTATGTAATCTTGTGTAGATGCTATCAGGGGAGACAATATGGGCAGTGCCATGTGATATAGATTCAAAAGTAATGGTAACAACACAAAGAGGCAATCCTCATCTGATGATACAACAGAAAGCCAGAGATATTGTGTGGGGCTAACAGGAAAAACAACCTCTAACAGAGATGAGGGTGAAAGGTTGCTGGAGCCTGTCGTAGTGAGCAGTGGACGAGAGGCAGGGTACACCATGAACAGGTCATCAGTATAAAACAGAGACGTAGATATGTCACATACACACCTATAGGCATATTACAGTTTTCATTTACTCACAGGGAACTCTAAGTTGACGAGAGTGATGTTAAACCTGTTTGCTGTCCCATTCTTTTTATTTGCTTAACGGGCTGGAACAGTACATTTTGAGGCTAGTTAAATATTGTACTTACACATTTTCAAGACTATATGCACGAATGTAGGCTTTCTCGAATGCTCCAAAGGAGCAGTTGGTTGGTTATATGCATATCAGAGTCATTCATGTGCTGCAACAATGTGTTATGTCGATAGCACCACCTCAAAATGTTACTGATGTTCATTTTGCTGTACAAAAAGAAGGAGCCACCCTTGCTTTGGCCATGGCCATATGTTATACATTGCCTACTGAGTTATATAATGTCCAAATCCACAATGGCATCTTCGCTCTTGGAGTGTCCTTTATAATTTTGATTTCCCTCCAAAGGTCAGAACACCCTGTGCAAGTACAAATTAGTCATTGTAGATATAAATAACATGGATATTTCATAAAGGTTTGCAGTGTTGATTATTAATCCAACTGAGAGGGAGAGTGAGTGTAGGCATATAGGACACAGGCTATGACTCGGTTCTAAGATACCAAGATAATGGTGCTTTGTGTTTGTGTTTGTGAAAAGAGGGGCTGGAGGTTTAGAATGACGTTGGTGCTACCCACACCATGTCAGTGACGGCTATGCACAGTAACAACGGAGGGATGGCATGAAAGGTTAATTAAGAGTAAAGGTAAAGTAAGTAGGTTAAGGTAAAGTACTGAGATAAAAACATGTAGGTCTGTTGTCAATCAAAGAAAATCTAGATCGAATGAAATCCTACAAATCAATTGGTTGCAGGGAAATGTAGATTAACTAAATTGCCATTATTAACCTAAATGCATTTTGAATAACCATTAAATACTTGTATTTGCAGTATTTTAAGTAATTTAACCTAAAGTTGAAATATGTATAAAATACAAATATAAAATTTGGTTGATGTTGGGCTTTGAGCTGTAATATGGCAACTTTCTTTTTTTGGTAAATTTCTTTGTAATCTGATTTTACAATATTTAGCCACCCAATTAGTTTTTTGACACCGTATAGGTATAAGTAGAATTCTACAAAAACTACTTGTATAATGCACCATATGTATAGACCATGATAAATGTATCCAACCAATAATAATTTCGGGTGTTGAAGCAACACTGACTCATATCTGCAAAACGTTTGATAATCGTCCTCTGCTTTTATTTTGATCCTAACATTTCTCATTTCTGTATCATTTCAGCCATGTTACTACCTTCGTCTCTACTCCTCCTCCTCGGCCTCCTTTCATGGAGTCCCTGTGCATCATGCGCTAAAGTGATCGTGGTCCCGCCCATCATGTTTGAATCCCACCTCTACATCTTCAAGACTCTGGCCACGGCTCTGCAACAGGAAGGCCATGAGAGCCATTTCCTAGTTTCAGAAGGTCGCGAGGTTCCCCCATCTCCTCACTACCACTTACAGCGTTATCCAGGGATCTTTAACAGCAGCACGGCTGACAGTTTCCTCCAGTCCAAAGTCACTAACATCTTCTCAGGCCGTCTGACGTTTCTGGAACTGTTTGACATTCTTGACCACTACTCTCAGAACTGTGATGCTGTTGTTGGCAATGCTGAGGTAATGACACGGCTGAAGGAGGCCAAGTTTGACCTGCTGCTGGTGGACCCTAATGAGATGTGTGGTTTTGTGATTGCTCATATCCTGGGCGTGCAGTATGCTGTGTTCAGCACAGGTCTGTGGTACCCTGCTGAGGTCGGTGCCCCGGCCCCTCTATCGTACGTACCTGAATTCAACTCGCTGCTGACAGACCGCATGTCTCTGCTGCAGAGGATCACAAACACAGCCGTTTACCTGGTTCAGCGCTTTGGAGTTCATTACATTGCACTACCCAAGTATGATCGGATAATGAAGAAACATGGGGTGACGCCTCAAGTAGCCATGGCTGACTTGGTGCAAGGCAGCCAGCTGTGGATGCTTTGCACTGACATGGCGCTGGAATTCCCCAGGCCCACCCTGCCACATGTGGTGTACATAGGAGGCATCCTCACCCAGCCCCCCAACCCACTGCCACAGGTCAGTACTTATGTCTAGTAGTTGTTTCGTGTCATGTACAAAAGGGAATATAGAGTTTAACACTCAAAGAATCTGTGTGTCCTCAAGAGAAGAAGTAGAAGTGGGCGATACAGATAAAATCCTTCACACTGTATATACTTTTATATCATGTTATCATTGTACATAATGTTAAGTTAGTCCATTTTCTGGAAAGTAAATTGACAGCAGTGTCTGCCATCGGGCACATCCATCAAATTAAATGCCATCACGATTCACAAAGTCATATAAAATCCCAATTTAGTCATAAATCAGTCCTGTTCACTGATATGAAACATTTCTCACAGTGGTTTAATACACCAGCAGATGTAAAGGGACTGTTACTGCTGTATAAAGCATATGGCAGAATGTCTGATGGGCAACAGATTTATATCATCTTGTCATATTTAGTAAATCATCATCCTCTCCTACAGAGTCAGAGCACTTGTCTCTGATCAGTTAACACTCACATTAACATGTATGTAAATAGAGGTCTCTGTGCCACTAGTGATGCACAAGTAATACAATACAATGGCTAATTGATGCAACAGAGTTTGACTTTGAGATTATGCAAATGTATGAATTCATGGGGGGGGGTGTAAAGTCATATTGTCCTGCTTCAAACTGGTTTGGGAGAAGTTGTATGACATACAGTACAGCACATATGTTTTCTGATATCCCATTCAAAGAGGAAATGGTTGTTACCCCCCTGTCTGCTTGTTTGAACAAAAACGACTTGACGGATTACTACAAAACTCAGTGTTAGAATGTGGCAGAGGTCATAGAATAACTGATGAAACTTTGGTGCAGACCTGAATCACTTCCTTAAACATTGAGAGATTGTTTTTTTTCAAAATTTACCACAAAATGTGGTGGAAGGATGCAGTATAGGTCAGAGAGGAATGCATTCAATGTTGGTGCGAATTTAGATCAGGGGGGTTGATCCAGGAATTGTATTTCTCTGTCTTTAAGCATTTTTTATGCTTATTCATAGACATGTTAAGAAGACTGATATCTATCGCTGCTTTCAGAAAGACATCCTCTGGAGTTTCTCCTCAGGGTCTGGATGTGTGAGCTCTAATGTCCATTTTTGAGCCTCCAGATACCTGTCGACTTTCTGCGGCTGTGTTGTTCTTGTGTGAAAGCAAAACCTCTATAGAAAGTCTGGACCCAATTCTCTGGAGTTCTTTCAGAGGTAATGTGTGATATTTGGTTCAGTTTGATTGAATGTAAGGGGACTAATAGTTCTGAGGTATGAGCTCTACTGAACTGTCAGTCTAGTTGCATATTGTTAAGGGTTTCTGTACTTTTTGTATTTACTCCATTGTCTCTCCTATCACTTGGTATGTTATTATCACATCCTGCCACAAAGGGAGCCTTCATAGATGATGCTGGGGTGAGGATGAGTTTGGGTTGAATGGACATGGTAGATTTTTTTTGAGCAGAGAGGGAGGGCAGGAGGGAGGGGGGTCATGGAGAGCAGAGGCGGGTGGTGACGGGGCTCGGACCAGCATTCAAATGCCGAGGGCGCGGGCCGGCGGCATCTACTGCGGAGGATTTTGGAATGCCACTCCAGCCAATAGGGAGCATTGTGCAGCCTTGTGTGGAGGGAGTTATAATGGAAGTGGAGGGAGAACGAGGCCATTGTTCTGGGCTGAACGCTGGGGACACTGAGACTCTTTTATGGGGTCACTGAGGCTGCGTTGTAGGGACAGTAGGGTCGTGCTGCTGGCACACAGAGCCCAGTGTGCCCCTTAGGTTGCTCCGTGCCAGGGCCGGCCTTAGCTGCCGCAGCTGGACCATTGACCTCCCCTCTCTATTTGTTTCTGTCTCTACAACATGGCCGCTCCCTGATCAGTCCCACCCTTTTAGTCCTTGCATCCTAACTTAAATACCATAAAGAACTGCTGCCATGCAAAATGCACATGTGCACGGACACAAAAAATCCTTCTTGGAGCTGTGAAACTCCTCTGCATCCTTTGACTTCTCCGTAACATCACTGATCTGATAATCAGCTGATGTCAGGCTGTCATATCCCCCCATACTGCCACTCTTCACACTCTTTACTAGGTAAGAGCAACACACTGGAGGAGGAGCACAGTATTGTCTTAAGTTTCGTTATGTCGCTAGATTTCCCTACTGAAGTTTTCCGTTTGTAGAAACCAACAAGAACCACAAGATTCCTGTTTTTCCTTATATAGTGCTTAGAGTGTCTATATTTTGGCACCAGTGGAAAGCAGAAGACTTAAATAGTATTCATGCTAACACTCAATAGTAATTATGACTGGGAGCAACGTAACTATTCCATAATTTATTGCCAGAAACATGGCCAAATGCGGGATCGGGAACGAAAACTGGTGAAGTCAGTAAAGTGTGCTGATTAAAAATAACTAGGACTCTGTTTTTAGAGGAACATGCTGTTACATTTTCTCACAGCATCACAAAAGACATTCATTTTACCTTCATTTGTTTACTTGGCTGGATTCTGCACCAACGAGGGTTGGAGAGGAAATGAAGGATGATGTTGATGCAAAAAAGAAATAATGGTGGACTTGTAAATGTGTTGGATTCAGTGGCTCTGAGACTCTTTGTCTGGCTCTTGAGCGGTTTTATGATGTTTTGTGATCATCAGGCTTCTGATTTCAAGTCAGTCAAATGATAGGGATGTTAGCTGATGTCTTGGGAGAATACAGTCCTTTTTGATATCATATTTAGACATGAGTTATAAAACCAGTTGCAGCAGGCATATTCCATAAACACAATGGGACAATGAGTTTTATGACATCCTCCCATAGTTGTCTTTAAACCTGTTAATCATTTAGAATATTAGTTTGAGATAAAGATTAAGACAACAAACCGGTTTGTGAAGGGCCTGTTTTTTTTCCTCTGCAGTGGAAATGGCTCTCAGTAGAGGCTCAATAATCCCACACAAACAAAATGAAGTGGTCTGATTCCCTAGATTATATATTTCATTTCTTAAAACAACATAAGTTGTGAAAAATCAACATCTTTGCATTATTCCCTGAAAAATGTAACACGGGTGAAAACATAACCTCCTTGGTGGAGGTGATAGTCTGAGGACCTCAGCTCTTGAATTACAATTAGCAGTTATCTACAGTTAGTATTTTAGCAATCTTCTTCTTCCTTCTCATATTTCAGGATTTTGAAGCGTGGGTGAATGCCACAGCGGAGCATGGCTTTGTGGTTGTGTCGTTTGGAGCTGGAGTCAAGTACCTATCCCATGACATTGCTCACAAACTGGCAGGAGCCCTCGCCAGGCTGCCCCAGCGTGTCGTCTGGAGGTACAGTATTTATTCTCTCACTTTCACTCACAGAGCACACATCTATCAGCTTGACATATGTGATCCTCCTAAGGTACCGAGGTTGTAGTTTCAGATTTTTCCTCCACTCAGCACTAAAGGGGGCTCTGGATGTCAGAGCACTCTCTGTGTATACACCACGTGTTATATGGACCACCCTAAATCAGTTCTTTAGGCCAAAGTCCATATTCCCACCTCACATTTGCTTCAGGGTATTATCTGAGGTTATCTACCTGATCAAACATCCCTGAGTAATGGATCCTAACCTTGAAGAGACTTGTTTTCTCTTCTAAAGAAGAACAATAATCTCCAGATGAAAACAGATTACGATGGAGACACTTTTTAATGAATGTAGAGATGTTTGCATGATTACCATGGTCAAATAAAAGAAGTGATTTATGCAGCACAGTTAAACACACTTTGTTGGCTTTTCTTACTCATGTCTTACTCATAAACGTGATGATATGTAACACACGTCAGTTCTAAGGTATGTGTTACTGCATCGGCCTTACAACATGTGTAGGTTTGTTTCAGCCATAGGAAGGGAACATACAAATGTGAAAAGGGAAACAGTGTTTACATAGGCGGATAAAGATTAAGAGAAAGATAAATTGCTGCAGGTAAGTTATTTAAAACTATGATTATTTAACTTTATAGAAAGACGTTCTGTTCCGTTGGACTGGAACCTAGAAGAATAAACTGATTTGATTTTGGTTGTCAAAGGTCAAATTTTTTTGCATCGTGAACACACTATATCAAGAATTCCTTGAGGAAATTTGATCAAATTTGCAAAAACTATTCACTTAGACTCATGGATGAACTGATTAGAATTTGGTGGTTAGGGTCATGTTCCGGTTGACCTCATGTTCTTGTGAATATGATATTACATACACCCATAGGAGATTTCATTACATGTGGTACAAATGTTCACTTGGCCAAAGGTTAAGGTCACAGTGATCTCACAAAACATGTTTATGGCCTCTTGAGCATGATATCTCAAGCCTGATTTGACGGAAGTTCTAAACATTTTAACCAATTTTCACTTGGACTCAAAGATGAACTGATTCCTTTTCATTGGTCAAAGGTCACAAGGACCTTGTATAAGTCTGGAAAAAAGGTATGTTGCCATTAACTACAGTGGTCGGCGGAAGCACACAACCACTGGATTGTAATTCTACTTCCATTTGATATGTATCTTAGCCACAATACTTATATTGTCTGTGTGTGCTTACTAAGTCTAGGAAGCTAAAGCTGCTGCGATATCAGTGTGTTGGTGTTTGTCATCACTAAACTAATGCAGATGTGTTCAGGATGAATTAAATACAAGGTGTCCATCACACTGTGTGCCTTCCCAGTGAGGGAGATAGGTATGCTGGAAATCCAATCTACTAATAATCATTTACAAAGAGTCCCACAGCAATCATCCATTGCCTGTGGCCTTAGCAGGACAAATGCTACAAGACAGTGCAGACTGAAAATAAACGATTGCTTGTTTCACAAGGTTTTTTTTCATATTTGATCAATGAAGCTGTTAATCTTAAACTCTTATTTCAGTTTATTTGAGTTTGTGATTCATTGACCACACTCAAACACACATTATTTTATGTAATTTTTATCTCATCAATGTTTAAAGAAAATCGAACTGTCAACTGGACACTAGATCTTCTGTAACCATTCTGGTATGTCTCGAGTCGTGTATAACTGATGTTGACGGCAGGAACAAAGCCTTTGGTGTTGAACATATATACACATTGTCTCCGAGCCTGACTTTTCTATAGGTGTATGTGTGGATTAATGTTAATGGTTAACATGTTCCTGTGTGCAGAGGTTAGTGGCTGGTTCATAATGTCACATTCCACAGTTTGCAGTGATGTCACAACTGACCAAAAGGTGCAGTAACCTTCACAAGGTGTCTCTGTGTTAAACAACAGTCCAGAATAGTTAAAGCTTTGAAATGTTTACAGAACAGTTCAAGTTTTTGTGGATTTAGTTGATGGAATGTTACTCCTTTGTATTGTTTTTGCAGTGAAAAATGTGTTTTTTCATTAATCTTTGCTTTAGTAAATGTTCACATGGTACAGTTTCATTTTTAGATTTTTGTTTTCACCTTTTTAACAAAACATGTGTTTATATTGTCCAAATGAAAATGCAGTACATAACATTTAATACTGTTCACAAGGGTTTACATTTTGCCTTTAATTTAGGTTGATGAGTGGTCATTCAAGACATATTTATTATCTCATTATTGGTCATTAAATCATCATAATCATAATTTCCACATTACTGCTGTGTTGTGTCAGACATATTGCTGCATGGATAAAACAAATGCAGGCCAGCAGTAAATCCTCCCTTAACGAGGATTGTAACGATCAGTTTTTATTGAATGTGTTTAAGACGATAGTGATTTATTTTAATGGTCATTATGGAGGCTGCATTTCTAGGAGCTGTTGCTGAACTGTGCTTGGTAATACTCAGAAGTGTTTTTGTGATTTTATTGCATGGAAGAGGTTATGAAACATGTGGGGTTGTATAGAGGTGGGGAACGAAGATGCATGGGGTGTAACTTCCACAGGAGCTTAGCATGCGAGAAGCAGCAAGTTACAGACTTTGAGAGGTTGGAAAACTCTGTGAAATTTAGTGGCTGGCACTCAGACAGAGAACTGGGTGGAATCAGTGGAGGGACTTAAGAGGATCAGACTGTGGTTGGAGTGTCTGTTTGGAAGTAGGTGGCTGTCAAAATGCCCGCCATGGTTGCTGCAATCTGGGTGAAAAGTACTATGTGTTGAAACAACGACATTTGACCTCCAACGTGTGTTTAATCATTTGTGAAAATTAACATTTTAAGTTTATTAGATTTCAAAGGCAAATGAAATGCACACTGTGTTCTCAAGCACTGACCTTTCATGGTGAGTGATCAGATAATGATGCGTCACATGTACGTACCTGACCCCCTCTGCAGGTGAGGTGAGACAACCATCTGAGACTTGTAGCCATAAGACTTTTGTGAGACCCAAGACCTTTTTTTTTTAAATGTTACATTGAATGCTAATTGGCTTCCACTGAGAGGATGGAAAAGGAAGAGGGCTGGTGAGGGATGGAGAGAAGGCCAAATGAATCTTGTCATTGATAATTGGCTGCATGAATGTGGGCTTTGATTGGCAGGACAGTGAATTGGTGCCTTGTTGGACAGAGAAAGAGAGATGAAAGAGTCTGGGTGAGTGAGGGAGGGAGAAGGAGATGGACAGATGGGGGTCGTAATGTAGCATGCACATTTATTGTATGCTGCATTTGTCGGAGAATGCTTCCCACAACCAAAAAAAACCAACTTTTTTCTTTTTGCTTGGAAGAGATCACATTTGAATTCCCCCTTTGTTCACTTCTTTACCATATTAATGTTTGACACAACTGCTTCATTTAACCATATGTGCATATATTATCTCGGACAAATACTATACATATATATCCTACCCTCACTATGTGGGTATGAAGCCAGACAGATATGTTGCAAGCTAAACACACTGAAGGTTTAAGACAAGAGTTGACTACTGAAGTTTCTACTGAAAATAACTGGGAAACTAAAAGATCTATGAAGAATGAGAATATTTAGATGAGATGTATAAAACAATAAGTACATTTCTTTGTGCATAGCAAGGAAACAACTTTTATGAAAGCATAAAGTAGCCAACACATTGTCTATCACATTTCTTACATTCTACTCAGTGCTAAAAAGAGTCCACAAGTGTAAAAGTAAAATGATCATGGAAGTATGATGATAAGTATTTAAGTATGTAACAGTACCTCCAATGTTGGGTGATCAGACGTCCCAGCTTTCTGGGGACAGTCCCTGTTTTTTTGGGGCCAATCCCTGGCTCGAGCTGTCCTCGGAAATGTCCCTGTTTGTAACTGTGAATAAAAGCAGATCAGAGAGAAAGACCAGGCAGATGTTCCCCAACTAAACGAAGCGAGAGAAAAGAGAGCAGAGAATTAAGTGTGAAGGTAAAGAAAAGGAGGAAGGAAGCCAAATAAAGAAGAGGAAGAATGGAGCCAAGTTACTGTAAGTCTCTTCCGACACGTTTTTTTTTTTTAATGTTCTTTCTTTACTGAATGATCCATAGTGTGTGATGATTTAACTGACACGGTTAACAAAGTAGTACTTTTATCAGTCGACCTTTCATCAGTACGACAGTTACGTTTACAAAATGACATGAAACCTAATTTAATCCTCAGGCAGCCTGTATAATGTCAAGGTGAGGTGAGCCCAGCAGTAAATAAATAGCTGAAAACAAAACTGGACTACAAGTAAAGGAAGCCAAGCCCGGGCCTACTCTGCACTGTAACATTGCAACCCATCATTTTTACATTTGATTTTTGTACACATTAAATAAATGAGATCTAACATGTTAGTGAAAGTCAGAGGTTGTGGTGGGCTGATTGTTTCCTGTGTGGACAAAGCAACAGGTGAGATGTTGCCCCTGGCTTCCAGTCTGTGTGCTAGTCTCAGCTAACTGGCTGTAGCATTATGTAAAATATAGATATATGAGATCACTGATCCTGAAAGTGAAAAATCATATTGTTATTATATATTATTTAATGTTGAATATGCTGGCAAGCTGTCCAGGATTTACCCTGCTTCTCGTATAATGTCAGCTGTGATGGCTCTAGCTCCCCCTGTGACCTTCCAAAGGATAAGTGGCTGAGTTTGTGGATGGATTTAATGTTGAAGTTGAGTTGGCTCAAAGTGGCATATGTGCACAGTTCTCCTTTAATCACTGGCATTGACACATTAGAGATAAATCAAAAAATACTATACAACTCACAAAGTTTATTATTAGTTTCACACTGTGATGACTACAGGACCAGTTAAAAAGTGACAGTCACAGCTTTGTGTTTCTCTTTCCTTCATGATTTCCTTTGTTCCTCAGATTCTCTGGAGTTCCACCTAGTAACCTTGGCAACAACACCAAGCTTGTGGACTGGATGCCTCAGAACGACTTATTAGGTGAGTTACATTACAAAAATAAAATACGTGACAGGAAGTTTTACAATTCATTGTTCAGGAGCATTGACAGTGAAATGTATTTTCAAGCACTTGAGAAACCTTTGGTATGAGCCAAGGGTGCTTTTCTTTAACACAGCAGATTTCTTCATACACTGACTTCAGACATGTTTTGACACATTACTGGTCTATAGTGTTTTTCTTATACAAGATTCTCCTCTGGGGTGTGGCAGTGGAGGTGCTCCTCACGTACCTAGTAAATAACCACAGAAGCTAGTAGAATGTGGATGTGTGAGCCACTTTGTGCCAGTCAGGACTGAGGATTGTACAACATGCAGATATTGACAGCTAGTTTTGTATTCTGCTGCAGTGAAACAGCATGTGGTTTAGACAGCAAATACTGAAAACGTCTTTCTGGCTTTCTGTTGGGTGAATAATAGACATTTTAAACGGCAGGTCACCAAAAAACAATCAAATTGATCTTTTCACATATGTCTGCTGTGGCTCCTCCTACCACAGTGTGTTTATTGGAGTGAAATGGACCACGGACATGTTAACTAAAATATCCACAGAACTTGTGAGCTATTTTAAAACAGGAGTCCTTAAACTGTTTTACTGACAGAGATGAAATAAGAGACGCTGATTGTGATTGAAATCTGATTATTTCGGTGATGCTACAGTTTTTTAGCCCTTCAGTAAATCATACTGAAACCATCCCTATTCATTCTGTGTTAGTTAATTTATTGTAAATGACATGTTTAAGGGACTGATATTTAAAAGTGCAATTTGGTGCAGATCCAATAAAAATTCCAGATCCATTTTATTTTAATGTGGTTTCATATGGGGACAGTTGGGCCCTGGCGGAGGTTTACACTCTACAGTGTGCCACTAAATATATATAGAGCAAGTAAATAAATTAAATTTAAATTGTTGTCCTCACAGATGCACTGGCCGAGGCTGCATGTTATTTTTTATTGTTGAAACTACTTTCATTCTTTCCTCTTACTGTAATCCTCCCTCCATCTTCATGAAGTCAGGAGCAACAAACTAAAAAAATCTAAAAACAAATATCAAAATGAAACAAGTGACCTTATTCAAACGAACACAAAATAATCCCCCTCATGCTTCCTGTCAATATAGGCCATGCCAACACAAGGGCGTTCCTGAGTCACGGCGGTCTGAATAGCATCTATGAGGCCATGTACCACGGGGTTCCAGTGGTGGGTGTGCCCCTGTTCGGGGACCACTATGACACCATGACTCGTGTGGCAGCCAAAGGTATGGGTGTCATGCTACACTGGAAGTACATGACCGAGGAAGACCTCTATACAGCCTTGACTAGTGTCATCAAAGACACCAGGTGAGAAGTCACACAAATGCTTTGTATATTAGTGTCATTGTTTATCAGTGCCATCTAGTGACTTGTCTCTGGAATCACAACTCTTTTATATCATAATATTAACCTTTCTCTCTCTTTTTCTATATTTGATTGTTTCCTGATATAGTTGTGCCCTCTAGAGTGTTAAGATATAGTCCAATGAGACTCCTTATAATGTCATCTTACCCTTGTCTCCTCTCTGTACCGACATAGGTACCGCCAGCAAGCAAGCCTTCTTTCCAACATTCACAAAGACCAGCCAGGCCATCCTGTGACCAGAGCAGTCTACTGGATCAGCTACCTCCTCCGTCACAACGGTGCCAGCCACCTGCGCTCCGCCGTGTATGAGGTGTCCCCCTACCAGTACTTCCTGCTGGACGTGATCATTACCGTAGCAGCTGCCTTGGCTCTGACCGTCTTTGCTATCCACCAGTTGGTACGGTTGTTTAGAGGGAAAGTCGAGGATCAGGGCAGAGGAGGAGGTAAAACCAGGGATGATGCTAACATGGCCAACGGACATTGCCATAATGAGAGCATGGCCAACGGGAAACACAAACGCAATGGCTCCTTGAAAACCGAGAAGAAGCTGAATTAATGTTTGGAGTGGCCAAGAGGGACGAGGAAGAAGTTGCCCCAAGGACTCAGCTCTAGGTTTGGTTTAGTGATTTTGTACAAGCTTGAAAAGAAAGCTTTTCTTAGGTCTGCGTCAAGAGGCAACTGCTACTCCGAGCGAGAGGGTGTTGGAGAATGCACAATGCAATGTGTGTGGGGACAGAACAAGGCATTGGGTGCTCAGAATCTGTGTGTGTGTGTGAGTGTGTGTGTGTAGGTGTATTTGTACGTGTGCACTGAGGAAAACTTAACAAGAACTCTTAACAACAGCAGCTAGCGCAACGCAAAACCAAATTGGAAAATCATTGAGGATGAAGCAAAGGAAAGACACATCAGAGGACGTTGTTTCTACATGTGTGTGTCTTCTCCCCTGCGTGTTCTCTGTCGTCTTCCTGCCTGAAGAGGGGAAAATCCTGAGCGCCAACCCCTCATCCTCAGAACACAAGCACGAAACATTTAGGATTGAATGTTTTTAACTGGACAAGCTCTGCTTCAAAATGTGTAAATACAGGATAAATCTATTTATTACTGTAAAGAAATGCATTTTAAATGTGGACCTGTCTTCTTTTAAGTTATTACATGTGTTAGTGGTGTGATAGCATGGTGGTAGACACTCCCTCTGCTAAGCCAATATACACACAACACTGTGTCCTTCATATTAGAGAAACAAACAGAGTATAAAGCAACAGTTATTGTAATGCCTGGGCCACACTGAGTGTGTGTGCAGCACATGACGGCCGTCTCTCCTGCATCTGTTCACACAGGGAGCGTGTTTGCTGCGTTCCTTCTGCAGAGCTGCTATGTGATATTCTTTTACTTTGAAACGGGTACAGGATGTGTTGCAAATATTTATATATTTGTGACATATTCGTTAGATAGAAATTGAAAATGTGGTGAAAGATGTTTTTTGTGTTTATTTTGCTGTGAACCGTCGGTGGTACGCAGAAAAAATAGGCAAGACCCCAACTCTTGAGAAGAGCGGCTCACACGCAGGAGATTTGTGTCTTGAGACGCGCCGCTCTCGTATCCAGTGTGGCCTGGGCGTTAGGATGCATCATACACCTGCGCTGTCGGCCGCTGCAACCATCCACAATATCACGGGGGTCTTGTTTTTCTATTTTAAACCTCATTTGAACATATTTTTCAGCGTTTCCCTTTTGATAGTGTGAACAAGAGACAGTTTTTTCTGGTAGAGAATAAATCTACTGATATCTGTTTGAATTATCAGTGTGAAAAGATCAATCATGTTATTATCAAAAGATATAATAATAATAATGACTGTAACCTCTGCTGATACTGTGGATAGGCAAGGCTCAGCTGCTCAGGTGGTCTTAAACCAGGTGATGAGTCAGAGCATCATTGATTTACCATCACTTGCCTCATCAGTTCCCCCTTTATCTGTTTATTGATTAGTAAGCATTCATCACTTGACTGCCATTTTTAGTGCGACACTTTGTACATCATACCTCTGTGATTGATTTGTTGGATCATTTGTCTTGAATGCTAATTTTAAACGACACTGTTCACTTAGCGCTTCTCTCCTGTAAGGTAAAGTCAGATTTATTTCATTCAGGTTCATGTGCAAACTAGATAGAGCTTATAAATAATTATATTAACTTCGAGTGAGAATGATTCACATTCTGTATGTGGCCTTTTATAATGCAAATGTTTGTGTATGCAGTATGCTTGAATACCAATTTGTGTGTGTGTTGTTTCAATGCTCGTGCTTTTTGATCACTGTACAGCCTTAGCCAGAGTGTATGGGTTAAACAAAGCAGATCAAGTATGTTTTATCCCACTGAGAGTCATGTTAAAACAATTTCTGGCATTTTACTCTTTCTCTGAATTCAGTTCATCATGCAACATCTACATGTATGTCCATGGAAAGGATTCTTTGTTATTTTCTAAACTGGAACACGTCTTTACGTGTATGTTCACTTCACATTGTTTTACTCTTGTTTCTTGGCCAGCGTGAAGCAGCCATGTCTGTTCATTCCAAATGCAGATGGCGGAAGTTTGTAATAGACAAAATCATCCATGCTGCGAAATTCTCTTGAACCAGGAAGATCACCTTACAGGGAAAAGTAGAAGGGTATCGAGTGTGTGGAGATTCAGGTATCCTGGTTAATTATTACATTTCAAAAAGGGCAGGGGCTCATGCACATTCATGCATCCATCCATCTTCTCTACCACCGACACTTAAAGGGTTGAAGGGGGGCTGGAGCCGATCTCAGTTGACACTGGGTGAGTGACGGCGTTCATCCTGGACTGGTCGCTCATGGGAATGGGATGTTAAAAAATCGCATTTAATGTTACACTTCCAGTTGGACAGTTTGTGAAACTACCAGGGCAGACGTACTGTTCCAGACACGTACATGTCACAGTTCAAAATTGCAACCTCATTTAGTTTTTTTCCTGCAAAAACCCTTTTTACCAACTTAATAACACCTCACGTCCAACATCCAACCAACGATTTCACAAATCCTCTACGATATTTAAGACAAGCTTCATTATCCTCCTTTTTCTGTGAGCTACAATAACATCTGCACAGCCCAAATCCCAACTTGCTTAAAACAGAGACTTTTTTACTTGAATCATCATCTTCATCATTGTCGTCAATTTATAAGCTGTTGGGTATTTGGGGATGTGCCGGTGCTTCACAAGCTATGACCAGGGTTAGGAGAGGGGGAAAAAAAAGTTTTGTATATATATATTTTTTAATAGTTTCAGTATTAATGTTGTTATAGCCCTTGTAGTTAAACGCCGTCCTTCTTACGTCTCTGTACTCCCTCTGCAGTCTGACATGTCTGTGTTCCTTTCACGTTTTCAGCTTGAACACGTTCTTTGTTGTCCGTCTTCAAATGTGCACTCGTGTGTTCCATTTGTCCACCTATTTTTTCCTACTCTTAACTTCCTGGTGTGTTCTGTCGTCTTTGTGTTCTTGTCTTTTTCTTCTTAAAACCTTGTTCGGGGGTTTGTACATTTTAGTTCATTTAACTTTAATTTTGAAAAATACATTATGTCCTCCATTATTCTTTCGTGTGTCCATGTTGTACATAGAACAATGTAAACAAAATACTAATGCTGAATAAAAATGACATATTTTGTTTGCAGCGACGAATTGAAACTTTTTTTCAATGTGCTATCCAGCTTTTGAAAAATAAAAATCTAATTCAGTTGGTAAAACAATGAATGAATAGTAGAGGAAAAAGTTAGAATCACCCAGGTATGTTCACTCAACATATTTTTACTTGTGTTGATAAACGCTTGTTGCATGTTATCAGTCCCTCTGTACGATGGATGAGCACATACACTCCTCACAGGTTTTGAGACCTGATAAGACCTGATGTTGATTATAGCAGTCGATGCTGCCAGTCTCCGTTTGATAGGGCATGTATAGGTTTTCTGTCGGGAATTGTTACCAAGCAGCAAGAGGTTTTTTTGTAGGTATCAGATGGTGGAATCATCTAAAGTAGCCAGCTGCACGCACACATGCACACAAGCTGTGCGGACAGATAGGGTTATCTAATGCTGTATATTCTCACTGAGTGAGGCTGGAGTAACAAAACACCCAGCCTGGTACCCTGCCTCGCTTACTGGCCCTCTTAATTATTCACACCGCCTGCAGGGGCCTGCAGACCTCTCTCTTTCTCTCTCTCTCACACTCACACACACAGTCAAAAGCATCTGCAGGTATGTTTAATTTATGCTCTTGAAGTTGTTATCTGTTTTGGTCACTGGTTGCCAAACTGGGCACTGTTCTGTTCACCGGGACAGGAAGTGCACAGGGGAGAGAAGAACTGGGGTGGCAGGCCTCTGCTGATGTGGAATGTGATATCACAGAGAGAACAGTGGACATCATTCATGACATCCTGTGTTCATTCTCCGCCATGCACCACTCCCTCTCCTCAGACCTTGTAAGTGCCTATTATTTACCTCTCCTCTCCACCTCAAAGGACAATCATCAGCAGCGATTATCCACTTTTTGCTGAACTAAGTGGGCTCGCTGCATTAAGTAAGTAGGAGTCCTCCAACTCGAGATCCAAGTGATGGATTTGCCAGGAGTTTGACAACAGGGTGTGCTCCGAATGTCTTTATGTGAAAATCTGAATGAATGGATGCAGGGGGGGGAGCCTTGTGTGTGGTTTGGTGTGTGAATGTGAAGCCTGAGGGTGTGTGCCACTTTTGAAACTGTTGACTTAGCTTCTTTTAAGCTTAAATGAGCGATGGTCAACCCTCAGTGTTTATTCATTTCTGTCACAGAACATTTATTCCAAGCAGCTCAGCCCATGGATCTGCCCAGATATAGACAAATCATATTCCTATGCAATTTAGGATTAAAAAACTCTCCCACTGCTGAATCAACCCACAGCTAAACAGACTTTGACAACACATGATGGTAAAACACAAATCTACCAACCAATTCCAGAAACATCTGTTTGTATGTGGAATGCACAAAACGTTCATCTTATCGGCTGAATTCTTGGCAAGGGAAGTTTAGTTTGTTGCATATGAATAAAATTTCACATATTAATATAAATATTATCAAATCTTCACTGCAGATGAGCCAGGTAGGATGAACGCAAAGTTTTCTAATTTCACTCTGCACCATAGATTGTTTATAAATAAGCTCTGCACACAATTTCCAGCACAGAAACAATTATACATGACAAGGACTAATTAACTAAGTAGCTCCAGAGCATTAACACAGGCCAAGAGAACAGCCCATTCCAAACAGGCAGGTTTAGAACAGGCACTTTACTAATAAAATAATGTTTAATTAAATTGCTGAGATCATTGTATATTTTTTGGACACAGTCAAAGAAGAGCAGAGACATGCATTCAGTTCACAATTCTTTATTTAATAATGGAAGGACTAATATGGGATCATGGACACATGGGCTATTTCTACTGTCTGTGTGGTAGTCATTGCCATTTGACACGTGAGTTAGCTCCAAAGCATATCTTTTTCTCTTTTTAGCGACCTGCTGATTTAAATCTTTGATGGATGTGGCAGTTCTCTTGTGTTTACCCTTCAACACAGCACTGTAATGTGTTCTGACTTCTTGTTGGTTGTAGTATTACTGTTTGGGATAGTCTTTGCTGGTGGTTGGCTCTTCACAAGGTGGCATCATGTAACCTGTGATACTGAGCTCGACTTCTGTCCCCTCAAATGGCATAGCTTCATGTGTGCGATAGTGAGGGAGCAGTTGTTGGGCGAGGTTCTCCAAGTGCTTATACAGTCCTGCGTACTCAGAGTGATAAACAACTAGGGCAGTACCTTCTCTGCAACACAGCCCCATCTGTTGCGACAATGAGGATCAAACACAGCAAAATGGTGGCCTTGCTTAACAGTCACAGGTGTTACAACTGAAAGTGACAAAGCAAGCATCATGATCTATCAATGCTCTCTAAATAGCCATGTCCAGAGGTACGTTAACATTCCTCATATATGCATCAGCTGCCTCATCGAAGACACCAACCAATCGAATGAAACTTGGACCACGCTTGATTTCAAACTGCACATCTTAAATATGGCAACTCTTCAATAAACAGAAAGCCTTCTCCCACTTATTTCCCCAATGTCTTTAAGATAAGTATACAACTTATTCCCTTCTCCAAGAACAGAGTCAATTTCATTCCCCTTTGTGTCATCACTCCAAGTTGTTATACTTTTCAACTCATTCGTCATTACTGCAGCTAAACTGTTGGCTACGCACTGTTTGCCAGCATTACCTTGAATTGTTTCTGGGGTCTATAGGAGTCTCCCATAATAGTTTTGCCAGAGACACAACTGCTTTTTCAATTGTTAAACCTTATACTTTGTGGACAGTGCATGCCCATGCCAAACGTATTGGTCCTTGCACAGAGTTCTGGCCTCCTTTTCTCATAGAGAAGAGTCTTATGAAGGTGATGTGCAGGGAAATAAGCTGTTGTTCTAACTCACTGAGACATTGTAGCTCATCAGGGATAGGCTTTTAATGTAAATAGTTAGCAACACTTTTTGTAGGAAGTTTTCTCTTTCGAGGATGATTGTCACAAGTATACAGATCCAGTTTAGAAAAATACTCATCTTGAAAATAGCAATTCTTCACACAAGATTTATCACATACTGTATGTGCAAATACGTACTTGTTAGACATTTATCAGCAAGTTCACTGCAGTCCGCACCCAGTGTGACATACAGTATGTGCTCTTCCTACAAACAGCAGACAGGTGTTGCAATTTTAAATCAGTGGCATATTTATTGCAGCTTTTCTCATGTACATGCTTCACACATATGCTGATGAAATTCAGTGTTTCAGTCTTTTATCACACAAATGTTGAAATGCAGAATCATTGTGGTATTTGATTTGCATTTGTAGCAGAATTCATGTATTTCTCATTTGTGCCATATTTTACTCTCTGTATGTTTATGTGGGATATGTTGCTTTTATTTTTCTCAGAAATTTCCTCTTTCTTGGTCAGCGGTCTGAATGATTTTGTTTTGTCTGTTGTTCTGTCTTTCCATCTGGACAGTGTTTATCAAGTGATGCACAGATGGATTCATTGTGCATGTCCTTTACACAAGTCACAAGGTCATAGTGATTGCTCTTCTTGTGATTCAGATAAATAGCCTCACCGCCTCTGTCGCATTTGTGGCCCAACAGTGTTTAGAATGTTTTAGAATAAAAACAGCCTATGGGTCACACTAGACCCCAATGACCTCAGTTTGTACCTGACGTGTTGTTTGATCGTCCTCACACGCAAACAATCACATCTCCACATTTGTACCATGTTGCTGCAAAACCATGTAAAAAAAAACAACCTCCTTCCCTTGAGCAAAAATAGCC